ATCTGATATTCAAATTTAACTGGGCACTATGTATTTTACCTGGCAACGCCACTTGGGACTCGCTTTGACCAACAGCATACAGCAGAAATGACGATGTGCCGGGTCCGGGCCTAGCCTTAAGAGGACCGCTGGCTCTCACTTCCCCCACCCTGGAAGCACACCCTGAGACCACCGTGCTGTGAGGAAGCCCGGCAAGCCACGTAGAGAGAACACATGGAGAAGCACTCAGCACCAGACACTGAGCAGGGCCTTGCCTTCCAGGACAGTCCAGCTGCCAGCAGCATGCAGTTGAGTGAGTGACCTCAGTCTATATCACGTGAAGCAGAGGACAATTTATCCCCAGCCCTGCCCAAACTCCTAACCCACAGAATTGTGAGAAATAACAAACTGTGGTGGTTTTAAGACCCTACATTTCCAGTAGGCTTCTAATATACCGAGATAACCGAACTAACCCCGAATGGAGCATTCTTGCATTATTTTGAATTTAGTCCCAAAACCTTGTGGGGTCCTCTGTGGTGGCTCCATCAAGCTTGGTTGCGATGCCTATGCGATCTTGTCCAGTCTCACTGTTGTTTTTCCTTAGGGAGACACTGAATCCTTGAGGTTCAGGGCACGGAATTTGGAAATAGCCAGACTTGGGGCTGGATTCCGGCTGTGTCGCACAGAGCTGTATGACCTTGGCCTCTTTTTCTGAAAAATGACTATGTTAATATTAATTACCTCATAAGGTGGTCCATGAGGATTAAAAGATTTAATATCTATAAAACGCTTAGAAGAACAATGCCAGGTCTTTCATCAGAGTTCAGCACATACTAGCTGTTATTAGTCATCCTTCCACTGAATAATTCCTCGAGCCTGTGTTATGCTACTATTTATCTCCCTTATAATTTCTATCCAGTGGAGAAAGTTTAATAAAGCCACAAATTTCATGACAACAAGGGTGGCAGGCTCTACCACCAACAAACCACTGTTCTCCATCTGGAAAGACTCCTGGGCCTAGAGAAACACAGGAGGTAGCTGACCTTTCTAAGACCCTCATTCTGCCACACCAGTCCCTCAGTCCCTTCTCCCCGGGTCCTTCTCCCCGAGAATCCAAGACACTAACTTGTCTAAGATCAGATACAGTTCATAACGGGTAGACCCAGGTCCAGCTGACTCCAAAGCCTGTGCTCTGCTCTAGTGCACAAAACCCCTTGGAGAAAAGTGTGCAACAAGTTTACATTTCTACTGCTTCTAAAAAACCCAAAGAGCTGCTTCTGTATTTCCCACCAGGGCCTAGCTTTCTACTGATCCCATAGAGGCTTCACTCAGGAGTTCCCAGTTTCTACAGAGCACTTTGAAGAGCAACTTGGAACAGGAAAAGGGAAATGGAGACAAGAAGCAGAAAGAACTAGGAAATGAAAGGGGCCTCTGGTATGTTGGCTCCACCCCGCTTACCACCAAAACAAACACCAATTCCCTCTCCCTCCACCCCTTCCTCTGTCCCATCTTACTGCTAGCATGGAGTTTTCCATGTGAGTCACAACAAATAACAAATCCACCTCTTCCAAGACAAGCTCCAGGCTGGTTTCAAGGGTGGACAAGTAGTGATTCATTGATTGAATCAGAAAATTGGGGCTTGAAGAGGAAGTGATAATGCCTAAAGTAGCCAAAAACAGTGATCTATGTAAGATACCTTCTAGTTCTGACATTCAGGTGAAATCTGAACCCTCTTGGCAGTACCAGTGAACCTATACACTGATGAAGGATATACAGGTCAGGTAACCGCCATTAGAGGCAATATAGTTGCTTTTCTTCCCAATTATTACTGTCAGAGAGATAAAGGTGGCCAAAACAGGAAGCAAAATGCTCCCAGAACCCTGGGTAGAGAATACATTGTCAACTGATAACTCTTCAAAAGACCACCAGAAAACCTCAACCAAAGCTAAGCCGATTAGATCTATTTTAGGAAGAGAGAATACAGTATAGGATCTCAGTGTTGCCCAAAGGTGGAAACCAATGGAAGGTATTTATAGGGTTTGGGGGTCTGGACTCAAGTGGTTTAAGGGGGATCTTTCAAATCAGGGAGCAGATCAGGATTAGACAAAGTTAGTGACATTATAGTTTAGGTTTCGTGGATACAAGAAGGAAGGCCCTGAAAGCAAATCATGATAAGTAAACTATTGTTTGTTGAGAAAATGGTTTGCCCAGATGAGTAAACTCTTGTCCTGATAAGAGAGCTGTTTGCCCAGAGGAGCAACTATTTATTCAGATACATCATTGACTGGATGAATTTCATGAAGCAAACAGTGAAATTATTTATTGGTTTAGAGTCATATCTTCCTAGACCTGGATTGCCTGGAACAATTAGTCAAGTCATGTTGTCATAGGGAGTCTCAGCTCTCAGTCCCAATAGTTAGGCAATGTGGGTATAGATGGTCTGGCGTCTACGCTCAGAAGGGAGGAGGCTATTGCATGTTCATTGTGGAGAATTGACACAAGGAAGGGGGCATCTGCGAGGAAGGCGCGTCAGACAACTTGTGCAGGTTGGAACGCAGTGCCGAAGGTCAGAGGACTCAGCACTCTTTTCCTTCTACAGGTAAGAGTCAGCAGGTCTCTCCCAGGTAAATAAACTCCCTTTTACCTGCAGGACCCATGAGCAATCCATTCTCTCATCTGCTGAGACTCTCTCCCAGATCAGTAGCCTAGGGACTGAACTTCTTTTACCCAAACAAGTCATTTGCCTAACAAGACCCTTCGCTTTGCTTTGCTTTGCTTTGCTTTGCTTTGCTTTGCTTTGCTTTGCTTTGCTTTGCTTTGCTTTGCAGTGATGATTTCCCCTGGGACTATGGAACCCAAGATGCCAGGCTCCCCAAAGGAAGAGCCAATTTCTTCCTTCCTGGCCTAAGAAAAGCAGTCTCTCTGCATCCCATTCTCATTGAAATTAGCCCTCCAGGCCCCATACCTGGAGGTGTCTGTCAGAGAGTTGTTTATAATGGTGAAAAGTTGGAAATACCTGATTGTCAACCAAGGGGGCCCAGTTAAGTAAGTAATGGCACGCATACACAACAAAACAATATGCAGCCATTAAATATGATTAGGTAGGCTCTTATTGACTGATATGGGAAAATGTCTGTGGCATCTCGCTGAGTGAGAAAGCAAATGACAGAATAGCTTGTATAATATGATTCTGTTTATGAGGGCATTGAGAGATTTATAACATGAACACTCACCAATTCCCATTTCTGTGGTGGTGGGATTTCAGATGACATTTTACTTTCTTCTTGGTTCTCTTCTGTGTTGCTTAAATTTATCACAACCAGCCTGTGTTATTTTTACAAAGAAAATAAAGCTATTTTGGTAAGAGGGAAGAATTATGTTGTTTTGAGGTGGTTTTGAGGTAGAGAGAGGTATTTTCAATATTGTTAACTAAATAAAGCAATTATGGTATAATCCATATATATCATCAAGCACGTTTCCCAGGATATTTTGATCAAAAGAAATAACAATGGGGGGAAGCCACATCTAGGCCTTCAATGTTGATATATTAGCACTTTCAGTCATTTCCTGTGACACCTGCAGATTATATTGACACACGTCACTGTGTACGTCTTGGCCTTGGGAGCCTTTTGAGTCTCAACAACATGAAGAAAAACAGGCCCACAGGAGCTGGACACCGTAAATGGAGAGGGTCTGTCCCAACGTCTTGTGGAGAATCCCTGCTCCCCAGGGGCTCTCCAACAACCCTCACCAAGATCTCTCCAGCATCCCTTAGAGACAAACCTGCTGTTTCGGGTCTGCTCCTGGGAGAACCAGTCACAAATTCCCACTGGCACATTTCTGAATTCGGCGGGTCATGATGAAAAAAGCCAGGTGAACTAAAGACAGGAGGAGCCTTCCTAGTAATAAGGAATCTGTAAGCTTTATTCACATCTGAGAAGTTCTCACTGAGAAAGCTGGTCAAAGGCAATCAATGAAAAAAGGACAGAAACACCCCCAGGAAGTCTCTGCAAACAAGGCTCATGGAAGGAGGTTCACTGCTCAACCACTGGTGAGTGGGCAGAGGGGTGGAACTATTACCAGTAAGGGCTGACACTCCGTTATCCTGCCTTCTTCATAAGCCATGCTCAAACTCTTCGGCTCTGATCGTCAGCCCCAATACCTAGATGAACAGGAAAAAAATCAGAGCTCAAAAACTCTGTGCAGTAAATTCGAAATTAATTTCCTTAGGCCTCTACCCTGGGGCACTGTTCTACTCCTCTCTCCTGTGGAAAAACTCTTCCTAGGGGAAACCCCCTTGACATCCCTGAGTCCAAGTATTTGAGTGGCCCTTGCAGGCACTTGAGTTTGCAACCCTTGGTCCACAGGGAAAACTCTCAACTCCTTGGTATTTTCTTACCAGCCTGTCCCAACCTCAGTTTCCAGGGAGTACCCCCCCACCTGCAGTTCCCACCAAACACTTACCCTATGGCCACAGCTAATGGCTGGGCCTGGCCTGAATGGGTCCTGTATTTGCACGTAGCACTTCCTTTGCTTACGTGTTCCCCAAAGGCTGGAATGTGCTTCCTTCATCACTTTGATGATCCCTTTGAAAAATCTCTTTGCTATCCTTCTAGTCCCAGCCTAAACGTGACCTCTTCTGGGAAACTTTTCCAACTCCTGCAGGTAGAAGTCATCATTACTTCCTCTGTGCTCTGGTTTGCCTTTGTTAAAGAAAAAAAAATGTTTAAGCTATCAGAAACCAAATATTGAGTGAAAACAAATTTTTTTTTTGTACTTTTAAGCAGGAAGCCAAATCCAGCCCACTCTAGGAAAACTTCAGACCTGAAGATGTGGGAGTAGAAATGAGGTAGTTTTCTAAAGCCAGGAGACCATGAACTGTCCATTCCCATGTTAAAAATGCAAAGTCCCTAGGTGATACTGACTGGCTGCTGGCACTTGGGTTTTTCCTTAGAGAAGATCTGGCTTGGTTGGAAGTGGTCTCCTGGGTACACACAGTGTCTGACTCAAGTCAGGTTGTGGCATCAGCTGCCTCAGTGAATCAGGAGAGAGTCACCCGTGCAGTGGACCTCGTCAGCAAGCCAGGAGACCAGGCCAGAGCTGATTACACGTATTACCTCCATACCAGCACTCACACACGGCACTACAGGTCAGTTTTGTTTTTCTCCCATTAGACATGACTGCCTGGAGCATTCTGTCTTTTTTTAAATCTTAGTTCCCAGTCACCCAGCCCCTGGCCCAGTGCTGGGTAGACAGAGAGAATGTTCAATCACTGTTGATGCTTGACTTCAATGAGATAATGCAGTGAAGTGCCTCACAGTGTCTGGCACATAATAGATGCTCAGCAAATCATAGCTTTTGTCAGACAGACACGTGAGGCCAAATAATGGGCAGGAATCTTTCCCCAAAGAATAGGGAGAGATGCCTATAGCTAAAGCCCAATCGAGCTGCTACCAAGTTCAGGGGTCCTTCTTTCCTCTAAAGAGCTGACACCCTCACCTCCAAATCAGGAGGCTGGGCTTGTGAGCCATTTTCCCACAGAGACAGCCATGTGGAAACATCCAGGGGTCCTCCTTGGGCCAGGCTCTATCCAACTGTGTGTGGGGAAGGGGAGCAGGGAGCAGTTCAGTCACATTTAATCCTAGATTTTATTGTTGCCATCATTTCTTGGAGAAGGTCACACGGTTGGGAAATGGTAGCATCAGCCCAGTTACCCAGAGAGCAGGCTCTTCCCACAGCTCAGGGCAGCCCCGTCGTCACTCTGAGCCTTGGCTCTCAGCTTCTTTAAAGCTCCTGCTGCCACTGAGTCCCCTTTAAAGCCCTTCATAATGGTTTGAAGTGTGCCCGCTGGCATTCCCAGCTGGACTGCAAACGTCCTGGAGGCAGGGAGTATGCCTTGCAGAGCTGGGGTTTGCAATTAGGACTCAATGAAATCTGGTTGGAAATTACCAAACGGACCTGTCCAAACACCAACTGGACTGTTGCCCAGCTGCAGACCCTGGAGCCCTGAGTTTCTGCAAGAAATCCAGAGGCAAGTTGACAGTTTTTCTTTCCTCTGGGAAAACCTTATCAGCTCCTAGACCTGTCTCCCAAAGGGCTTCTCTCCAGCAAGGAGAGGTCTCCACCTGCAGCACGGAGCATGTGAGCCGCACCTAGGAAGGAGAGTTCCTTCTCTCTCCATTGCGACGAGTTCAGGCAGGCGCAGAGGAAGGATGCTGAGTCACTGACGATCAAGAAAGCCAGGGAACAGAAGAGGGCAGAGCGGCCTCTGAAACAGGGCCCAGTTGGCACCCCGATAATAGAGGCCTCTCCACGTCCCTGGCCTCTCCTTTCCTTGATCTACCTATGGCTTAACAATAGATCATCCCCCTGTGGCTTGAGCTTGGACTGTCCCCTGTCCCACCCAGTTCCCTGTTTTAGGAAATTACCCTGAAATCTATGATTAATACCCTTAGGCTTATTGATCACAATCTCAGTGGTCTACCAGGCTAATCCCATCATTGTTCCTGGGTTGCTGACTTCACCAGAGAATCATGTGGCCAGAGGGAAGGCTCCCTGCAGAACCCTGAAAGCCATCACGTAGCCTCTGGAGGAATTCCCCGATTTCCCCTTAAAAACCCCATGCTGGTCTGAGAATGTTAAGGCAGTTTTGGAGGTGTTAACCTGCTGCCTTCTCAGACCTCCGGTGCTCTGATAATAAACGCTTATTCTATGACCCAATTCCTGTGTCGATCTGTTGGCTGAGCTGCGCAGGCAGCTCAAGCCCTGGTCTAGTTTGGCCTCCGGTTTCACCTCTGCTGTGTCAATGTCCACAGCCTCCCTTCTGACCCCTGTTCAAGGACATCAAGGCTTTTCCTAGGCCCAGGCCAGGGTCTCTCAACCTTGACACTATTAACATTTGGGGCTGGGTAATTCTTTGTTGGGGGTGGGTGGCTGTCCTGAGCATTGTAGAAAGTTTAGCAGCATCCCTGGCCACTACCTAAAATGCCAAGTAGCAAGTGCCCACATCTAGTTGTGACAACAAAAGATGTCCACAGGCATTGCCAAGTGCCCTGCGGGTAGAGAGGAATCAACCTGGTTGAGCGCACAGGCCTCAGAAAGCTTCCTGGCTCTCCACCTCTTCCTTATGCAGAACCTGTGCAGGGTCTCAGCCTTCCTCCTCTCCACTCCTGCAGTTGCCTCTTCCTAGCAATGCCTGAAGATTATCCCTCAGGCCCTACTCACATCAAGGACTGTTGCTGCTTTCAGAGCAGTGGATGAGGAGTAAGCAATGATCTGAAGAAAAAACGCAGTTCCCAGAGTTTAGGGAGGGAAGAAAAAGCCTGGAAGGGACGCAGGCATCCCCATCCTATGGTAACCAAAAGTCTTGAAGGACTGAAACAGCGCTGCCCAACAGAAACATAATGCAAGCCACAAGTACAGGCCACGTATGTAGTTTAAATTTTCTAGTAGTTCCATTTTTGTAATCAAAAGAAACAGGTGAAATTAATTTCAATACTATGTTTTATTTAACCTATATATCAAAAATACAGTCACGGTCAATATTTAAAAACTAGTGTGGATGGAAAAGGAGCCACCTGTTAAACCTGACAAGCTCAGGGGAGGCCAGCATGGCGGGCCCTACAAACTCAGAAACCGAAATTAACCACATGGGATGGTCTGAACATAAAAATTCCTAACTAAAAGGGGCCATGGCTGGTAGTCACATGTGGGCCTGTAGCTTCCTTGACAAAGGTCAGTCTTTACTTTAAGCAAGGCTGCCTATTGTCCTTTTGCATCTAAGATAACAAGCCCTTGGAATGTCAGAGTCATCCCTTTTTCCAGACCCCTCAGGGCGCAACCCACCCACCAGAGACTACAGAATCCCTAGTTATTATCTTGTTCCCCCACATACCATCTCTATGTGCTATAAATGTTAATTATCATGTACTCACCAGTATAAAAGAAGTGTCTCTGTTTTATTTTTTATCCAATCCCAGAGATTTCCCCACTTTGCTTTCTCCCACCCCCTTAATCTACTACGAATGGATTTCATGAAACTGATTCTAAAGTATAAAATAAGCTGTGAAACTGCCATTCTCCAGAGCATTTTCTTAATTTCTTGAGATTCTGCTCTCTGGCGATTGTCGTCAGTTTGGCGCAAATAAACTCATTAAACTTCTCTACAGGTTTGGACATTTCTTACGTCAAACACTAGTCATAAGATATTTTACATTCTTTTTTTCATACTAAGTTTTTGACATCCGAAGCGTATCTTCCACTCACAGCATCTGTTTGGACCAGCCGCACTTCCAGAGCTCAGTAGCCACATGTGGCCAGCGGCTACCCTATTGGACAGGGCAGGACTAAGGGTTTCTTACAGAAAGTGAGGTTCACCCTGCCCTCCTCCCAGCACCAAGGAGCCTCCAGAGTCCAAGGCCTTAGCTACACAGTGAGGCAATCTGCCCTCCAAGAAGATCTTTATAACTCAGAGAACAAGGTACCCATTTCAAGAGGCCCCTGTCCCATCCAAAACTACACCCCTGTCTTGGGCAGATAAGCACAGCAGCCTGCAGCTTGTCTCACTGGTTCTTTTCAGACACTAAGACCTCAACCTTTCCACTCCACAGCCCTTGCCAGGAAGAAAGCCATAAATTCTCAGGGTGTAAATTAGCTTAACCCCGCCCTATACTTAGACTTCCTCCCAGGAATCAGGTAGCTACCCCCAGCCTTATGCACCCTTCTTCCTCCGCTGGAACTGTTTGCTCACTGCTTGCCTAAGGCAATGCAGGACAGCAGATCAGGCGGTCCTGTGGACCCGCCTTGTGTGCAATTATCAGTTCATTAGCCTTTCACCCAGTTCTGCTTCCTGGTGGACAGATGCCATGCAGCTGAGTGACTCTTTTCGGTTAATAAATTCCCACGCCTTGCGGACAATTTCCCAGTTAAGGCACCATACCTAGGATTGGAGGCCTTGGTGGAGACGGATAGCCTCTCATGGGTGGTATCCTCCTCTTCCCTTGTTCTGCCAGGACTTGCGCATCTACATCAACTCATCCTGCCTCAGGCAAAGACCCTGCCAGGGGCTTGGGTGGAAAAAGATAGAAAAATCCTGAGATGGTGATCAATGAAAGGGAAGAAATTCCAAGGTTTTCCAAATTTTTTCTCACTGGATATGTCCCCAGATCATCATACGGCAGCTTAAAAACAAAACAACAAAATTGGTCTCTAGTATGTGAGGCCTGACAGATAATAGGATCTCAGTAAATACATGTGTGAATTTGTTGTCAGTGACAAACACAGCCCATACCCTGGAGGGAAGGGGACCTCTGAGAGGTCTCCATGTTTGAAGCTCAGGAAGGAATGAAGACTCCTTATCTGCAGTTTCCCAATGTCCTAACTTTTTATCCACAGAGGCCTGGGTGGATGGCCAGATGTGTGACTCCTCCGTCACTGCGAGCATGCTGTTTGTCCAGACTGCCCTGCCTGTGTGGCCATGAAAGCCCCAGGTCCCAACTGAAAAGTCCTGAGCCAGTCATTTTCCGCCTGGAGCCAAGTTCCTCTCTTCTGGCTTCTAGGAGCCTTTTCAGTTCTGTCTCTTAGAGATTTCTTTTCTTTAGATTTGAGCTCAATTGTATCTTTCAAATTACTTTTTTTATTTTTCAACTATAGTTGACATACAATATTATATTAGTTTCAGGTGTACAACATAGTGATTACAATTTATTTTTTGTTATTAAGGTGTTTTTTTTTTTTCCTGCATTTCTACGTCTGAGTTGGGAGGGAGCTCTGGTTTCTGCTGTTAAAGTAACCACATTAGGCCCAAGATGGAGTCACTCTGGCTAAGTCCCATGTCAGCAAACCAAAACTTAACCAAGCTTCTATGCTCAGCTCTCCCAGAAAAAGAAAGCCTGGGTCAACCAATCCGGGCTTGCCTGCTCAGTACACATTACCTGACCCAGCTCCAAGGATCCCTTTTTTTCATATAAGGAAAGTAACCCTGCTTTTTAACCACTCAGCAGAGGTCCAGTATAACTCCCTTGTTCCTGCTCACTTTGGTCTATAAAAATCTCACTTGCACAGCTCTTCAGAGCTCCTTTCCATCTGCTAGAATGGACGCTGTCCTATTCATGAATCGCTGAATAAAAGCCTACTGGATCACGAAATGGTCTGTGGAGAATTTTAACACCACTAAGTCACCCCACTACTGACTAAAGTGCCGGGCTGATGTACTAATGCACATCTGATCATCTAAGTTCCCTGCTCCAAACCCTTCACTGAGTCCCCATTTCCTTCAGGGTAGAGTTCAAAGTCCATGGCAGGACGCTCATGATTGCACCAGGGTTGATTTCCTGGGCTGCTTCTGGGGAAGCCCCTCCTCACACCCTTCACCCCAAAGTCACTAAGATATTTGCTGTGGCCCCAAGTCAGCCATGGTCTCTCACACCTCCTCCATTTACACATGCTACCTATCTGCCTGGAACATTCCTCCCACCCCCGCCTCACTCCCACTCAACCTATATTAATTCACCCAAGATGTCATTTTCTACAGCAAGCGTTCCATGGTTTCTACCCTAGACACTTGAGTCAATTCCCCCACGTCCACATTTATGTTCTCTTAGTCCACTGAAATCTCTTCTCACAGGATATTGCAATTATCTATCACCATAGCATTTCTTTTCTTTTCGTCATGGAACACCCATCCACCTCTCCCACCAGTTTCAGCATCCAGCAACCATTTTGTTCTGCCCACAGGCAAATTTTCCATGAAGGTAACAAACTAAGGCTTCAGGGTCCTTACCTGCCCTGACCTTTCCAAGGCCCTGAGAAGGCCTTGGCTATGTGGTCATGTGGTCATGTGCTTTTTGTAAAATTTTTAAAAGAACATATTTTAGCCATAATTGGTTAAAACCACTGCATCTTTCCACCTCGATTTTTGTCACACCCTTCGTCACACTTCCTCCTACAGCTTCAGAATGGCTGCAGGCAATGTGAGGTCCAGCTAAGGGGAGGCTGAAGTATGGATGCTTGAGTCTACTACATATATTTATATGATTTGAAAATAGTTTTGTATTTAGATAAGTTGTTGGTAGTCATCCCAGTGGAGAATGGCTTCCAGGAGCACTGCCCTCATTCACTGTACCGACTCACTCAGCATCAATCATGAAAGTGCAGAGCCAATTCAGATCACTGCACTCATGTGGCCAGCAGCACTCAGATGCAAGTGGGTTTGAAATGCACAGAGCCAGGAGATAACCTATGGAAGCCTCTTCCAACCATCAGAGTTAACTAATACAAATAGCATGCAATTTTTTTTTTTTAGTAGTGTTTGGTATTGGTCAGCTTTAGAACATTTCTAATTTGTTGTGATTTATTTTCTCATTCATTCCAA